CTACAACTTTTATTTTGACTCCGTCGGCTAATTCTCGACTGATCATAAGTTTAACAGTACGAGGATATTATACTGTTTAAATGTCCACGTAAAATTCATAACATCTACCTACGAACTCTGTTTTCGTTTGTCATTTACTGCTGAGTTCCTATTAATGAGATCTTCAATTCTCATTTAGGTCGTGTAGGCTAAAAACCGCTCGATCTAAAATTCGAGTTTCGGGCTGTGCATTGCTAATCCAAATCTTAAAAAATTCATAACTTCCTCATACGAAGTCAGATTTGGGCGTTCTTTTTTTTTTATGTTCTTGGCTTAAAAAGTCCTCCATCATAAATTCACTATTTACGTCTCCCGATGTCGTGTCGGTTTTTCCGTAAAACTTCGACGAACCATAACTTTTACGTTATAACTCGGATTTCGGCGTTCTTTATATGTACGAAACCCTTGAGACATATTATACACTTTGGTTAAGATTTTTTCAAAAAGTCACTTTCGACCCGTATTATCTCTAAATTGACTTTCTCGGATCTACGGGCGTTACAATAGTCAACTCCATGAGTTTGAGTAAAGCCCTTCGCAACCAGTCGCGCCTTATATGTATGTACTTTCACATCCATGTCGGTCTTCTTCTTGAAGATCCATTTGCACCCAACTATCTTACGACCCGGTACATTGTCAACCAAGTTCCAAACTTGATTGTCATACATGGACTGAATCTCGTTGTCCATAGCCTCTTTCCATTTTGCAGACTCAGGGCCTACCATGGTTTCGTTGTAGTTGTTAGGTTCATCAAGATTTATCAATGTACTATCATTGATAAATGTTTTAGCTTCAGCTTTTATATGAACACCATATAACACAGGTGGAATACTAACTCTACTGGAACGTATCAGAGATACGGACTCGTCAATTGGTTCAACAGGAGTTTCCTCATTGGGTTTAACGCTAGTGTTTAAGGTTCCTTCATCACTTAACTGTTGAAGATCTTCAACTTCAATTTGCCTCCCACTACCCTCTTGGCATATGAGTTCTCTCTTGTGAAAGAATCCTCTCCTCGTAACGAAGACAACATTGTCACTCGGTCTATAGAAGAGATACCCAAAGGACTTCTATGGGTAGCCGATGAAAATACATCTCTCACTACGAGGTTCGAGCTTGTTGTGAGTCTCTCATCTTACCAAATCCTCGCAACCCCAAACATTGATGTGTGCTAATGAGGGAAACTTCCATGTCCACATCCCGTGAGGTGTTTTGGCAACCTTCTTAGTTGGGACTAGATTAAGGATATGGGCAGCAGTCTCTAAGGCATAACCCCATAATAAGATAGGTAATGAGCTCAAATCATCATGGAACGAACCATGTCTAGCAAGGTTCGATTTCTCCTATCAGCCACACCATTAAGTTGTCGTTTCCTAGGTGGCGTCAATTGCGAAACAATTCCACATTCCTTAAGATAGACGTGGAACTCAATACTAAGATACTCACCACCTTAATTGGATCGGAGCATCTTCATCTTCCTGCCCGATTGATACTCCACTTCTTGCTTAACCTCTTTGAACTTTTCAAAGGTTTCTGACTTATGCTTGATTAAGTAAACATGCCCATATCTACTATAATCATCAGTAAAAGTCACATAGAAGCGGTTAGCATCCTTTGTGGCGGTTCTGAAGGGTCTAGACACATTGTTATGTATGAGATCCAACAGACCTTCACCCCTTTCACAAGTACCAGTGAAGGGTGACTTGGTCATCTTTCTAAGCAAACAAGACTCGCAAGTGTCATTCGACTTCAAGTTGAATGAATCCAAAACTCCATCCTTTTGGAGTTGTGCTATGTGCTTCTTGTTGACATGTCTAAGATGACAATGCCACAAGCATGACTTGTCCAAAACATTGGACGAATCAATATTCAACACATTATTTCCTAGGTTATCTATAACCATCACAATTTCATATATGTCATTACAAGGTAATGCTTCAAAATAAAATGTACCATTATAAGAAGCATTAATACTACCAATTTCATTATGAAAAGAAAAAGTAAAACCTTGTTTATACAAACTTTGAAAGAAATAATATTTCTCGTCATATCATACAAGTAACAACAATTATTCAATTCTAAATTTAACCCACACTACAAGAAAAAGACCCTTTTACGACGTGCAAACCACGACACTCATTGATTTATTTTACGCAAAAAAGAGTGACATTAAAAAAGTATCGTCTGTTCATAAAATATAAGGATTTAGGTCACGCTATTGCGTGCCCTTAAATTAGTGTCTAAACAAAAAAAAACACGGAGGGCACATGTGTGTCATCTAAGGATGTCGCTTTATAAATTTTAATGGAACGCGCGTTCCATCCTTTAATAGCAGCAAGGGGAACTGAAATCCTAAAAAATTAAAAACCCCGCTTTTCATGTAAACCCTAGACCTCATTTGCAGCTTTCGTTTTGTGATCAAGTTGTTCCTGTTCGGGAAGGAATAACGAATTCATCCTCTCCATCAGCCGACAACCTTCACTCTCTGCTTCTCTTTTTCTCTGTAAACCCTAGACCTCATTATGCGGCTATAACTCTTCCTCCCTTTCGTATTTTTGGAGTTTGGTAGCCATATAGTGGTCAATGATGTCGACTATCCTCTTTAATCTACCATTTTCTCCCTCTGAGACATTAAATACACGCCATCCCAAATTTGGAAGAACTAGGGATTTTGTGAGCTGGATCTCACATGAAACAATTTTTCCTCGTCCCCACCCTCACCCATCCAAATTCCTTCTTCTTCAAATGATTACATGTTCTCACCTCAACCATACCTGAATGGATATCTCTGTCTCTCTTATATCTATTCTCTCAATATCTCTCGTGATTTCCTATTTACAGCTAGAGTTTGAGAGCGAAAAGAAAAAAGAAGAAAGAAAAGATGTGCCTTTTCTTCCTCTTTCTTCCGCTTTTCTTCCTCTGGTTCGATCACAACCCTTCTTCTCCCTTCTTATTATTTGTTTTTTATCGATTTGCAGGTGAGGGTGTGAGGTGGCGTTCGAAGGTTGTCAAGGGGTTGTGAGGAGATGATGGCTGGTGATAGTTCGGTAATGGAGAAATAAGGGTGTGTTTGTGTGACTGATTAACAAATTTCAGCAACTCCAAGTGCAGAAGCCCTAAAATTTTAAGCAACTTTCAGAGGGAAAAAGGGAGAAAAGAAAAGAACAATGCATAGAGAATCAGGAAAAAGAAACGGAGAAATAACCAAATCCATCTTCGATCCCAACCAGATGTATGTAAAATTTTCTACACTTTTTATTTACTTTATCGTGAGATGGTCAAACTTTCTTCTGTATTTGCTGATTCTTCCTTTTTATCTTCGTGTTCATCACTCTTTCTGTCATATTCGTCTTTATTTGTCTGGTTATCAAATCTCGTTAACCATTTTGGGCATGATTCGTGAATTACCAGTATGAGGTGCAGTATTTCTATCCTATTTGAGTTCATGTTTCTCATTCATTAATCAGAAGTATCCCATCTTATATTTCATAATATAAACTACCATTTCTAGGAATTTCTAATTGAGTTCACGTTTCCCTTATGTTTCTTTGACTATTTTTGTCCCAATGTTGGCTGGATTGTCTGATTTAACATCTAACTCGAGACCTGAACTGCACTACAGGTCATGTTTGAGTTGTTATGCAACTTTTTCAATACTTTTTACTAGGTATGTAGAAAGCTATGTTTTTTTATTTACTTTAATTTCATAAAACTTTATACTTTTTTATTTATAAAATATGTTGGTTACTGTTTCAAGAGGTATGTTTTATGCTGCCCCCGCTATTTAATTTGCTGTAGATTGTGCCAAGAAGATAGATTGGTCAGTGGCCTTGATTTTATGCTTATTTTTTTATGCAGTTTGTCCCTTGTTTTCCTGATCTATCATCATCAAAAAGTTTGGCTATAATGACACTAAAAGGGAAACTAATAATTTCAGTACCCTTATTGGACAAGGAGGATTTGGTAGTGTATACAAAGCTCAATTTAATGATGGATTATTATTCGTAGTGAAACGTATGGAGTCACTATAAAAGCAAAGATAGCATTGGTCTAGTTTGTCATTTCTTAGCTGAAACGTATGGAGTGACTATTATTAGATCTTGTGTCTCCTACTTACTTCTTGTGAAAACAACATTTTATTTAAGATGTTGGCAATGCTTTAAAGCTATGGTTGAGCCAAGAGCACTCCGAGCAGACTCATAATATTATTACCTTGTTGTACTATATTGTTGATATGCTATCACTTAAGGTTGTCTTCTTGTTGTCTTTAGATTTTTATTTGAATATTATTGTTATGATGCCTTACTGTTTGTTATGTTCCTTTATTATAGGGCTACATGGAGCATCATTCTGACATATATGAGACAATGATTACATTTTGTAGCTTGAAGAATATTCCTTTGAAAAAGTGCTTGACCATGCTTTAGCAATCTAGAAGCCTTAGTCATGCACTTTGTGGTTCACCTGTGAGTGATGCATTCATCATGACATTTTCAAATCATTGTATCTTGTCCAAGTCTCTATTAGTCATGCACTTTGGGTAACTTGTTTTATGGAGAGATCTAAATCACTAAAAGTTGGATTTCAACAGAGTTTGTCGGTCATTTCTATTATTTCCTCCCTAGATTCTTATAAGCCTAATCATATAACAACACATGAAGTCAAACAGGTTGCCTCTGATCTCATTAACAATGTATGTATGATCCTTGGGCATGATAGGAACGTGAATCCAATAACAGATAAATGAAACTAAAATATGAGATATATAGATCTGGGTAGCTATTTGATTACTAAATGGAAATAAGAACAAATCAAAAAGGAAATCCATATGATTGTCCTCCTGCCCTAATCAGAGAAGTTCTCTCAGGAGAAACCTCCTGGCCAAGCTAAAGCCGATACTCAAAGCTACCAAAAATACTCCATACCTCACTACTCTATTTATGCTACTCTTTGAGATAATTCTAGATAGGCTGCAAAATAGATTATAATAGATGTTACAATTAAGTCCCCCATGTTTGCCCGTATGTTTATATAAGACCCATAGCACATTCTCTATCAATACCACTGTCTTGAAGAAGAGGCTTGTCCTCAAGCTGGGATTTAGGAAATTGACTTTTTGTTTGAAAGGCACTTTTTCTTCTTTGATTGGACATTGTTTCCATGGAATCAACCATTGCTTCCTTTGTTTTACCTTGCTGTCAACACAACTAGTTTCCTCTCTTTCATTGAATTCAATCAACACAACTTCTTTCATTGATGGCTGGCCAAAAGATGACAACTTTCTGCACTTTATAGCAACCTTTAAGGTATAATAGATGAAAAGCTTGAGCATATCTCGATACTCTTCCACTTCTTTCTTATATTTGCCAAAAGTTATAATCTTCTCTTTGGTGGTGTTCATGTCCCAGGATTCTTTGTTCCTAAGAAAAGAGACAAGCTCGATTTCATATGTACCAGTGGCATTAGGCAGCAATACTGCTAATTCTTGCTTGAAACCGATAAAACCAAAAGCATATTCTGGTACAATACTCAGAAGAGCTACTTCACCTTTCTTCATCATCATCACAACTTCTTCAAGCCTATCAACTTCCTGCTCTTTATCTACCAACTTAAATTGAAAAACAACCCCTTCATTTGGGAGGTGGAATCCCGCCCCTTCTTCCACGCTTTTCTGGAGGACTTTCTTGTCATCTGTAATATCTGTAGAGACCCTCCATGATATTATTTGTAGTGTAGCATTTGCAGGGATGGAACCTTCATTACCAAATGCGGTTTTGCCCTTCTCTCTAATTCCATATTTTAGTATGACTGTAGGGATGACCTTGTCCCCCCTCAATCTGGTGTTTAATTTCCATTTAGCAATCTCTATCTTATCTTTATGGAAGAATTTCATAGCTTCTCGCAACAATCAGATCTTCTGATGGGACCAACTGTTGGCTTCAAGGTCTCCATAAGCTTTGGTTGTATCATCCTTCATGAAAACAAGATTTGAATAACCAGTAACACATGCCTATTTGAATAATAGTGTCTCAACCATTTTGAGGGATTGATTGTATCGATTTTCAGAGAGAATTCCATGAAGTCTGTTGTTCAAACCAGAGTTTTCAATACTACTGGTAGCCAATTCTTGGTATATATCTGATGCTTTTATCTTACACGTGGATTTATAAAATTGGGTTAAGCGATCAATAGACCGCAGGGAGATTGCAGGTACAAATAATTTGTCTTTTAAATTCATGGTGAGACAAGAGTCCTCATCGTGAAGATCATTGTGTTGTGTTTTGGTTTCTGACTCAGAATTCGAAGTCATAGATTTCAAGAAAGTTGAATAGTTACATTTCAAATTTGAATCCTCGTCTTCCCCTTCTTTGTTAAACAGGCTCGTAGTAATGACATTACAAATAGGGATGGCAATCAATTTTGGCGATTTGTAGGGTTTTAGTGGGAATTGAAGATACGCAGTATTGGGTAGGAGTGCTTGAGTGGTCTGTGAATTAGGCCCTATTGACTAATCGTTCAAATCATGTGGGCCATAGTGCGAATTGAAATTGGAGCCAAAAGTATAGTTGGATACCTTACCATTCGTGCTTGGACGAGAATTTCTTGGTGAACCTGTTCTTCAAAGTTACAGGTATGTATTTATTTACTTTTTTTTTCTTATAAGAGTACATTACAGTTTTGGTCCCCAAGCCTTCATTTTTCCGCAATTTTGGTCCTTTTGAGGTTTTTGTCATGGGTTTTTGTCGAGGGGTAAGGGCAAAATTGTTATATATATCTTTTTTAAAGTCATAATTCTTTGTATTATAAATTTATTTTTATGTAACTAGGTACTCAATACATTCAGCAGTCATATAAAATGAGTGAAGCATTTCCATTAAAGTGGATCAATAAAAAATGGAGAGAAGGGTTTCATGTCACTGCTATGGCAACTGCGGGAAGTAAATGGGCAATTGTTATGTCCCGTGGTGCTGGATTTTCTGATCAAGTTTTTTTTTTTTTTTTTTTTTTTTAGAGATTTAAAACACAGCTCCTTTACAAGATTTGAGTCATAATTTTTTTAATAATAGTGTTATTGTGTTGATTTAACAAAAGTTTTGGTGGGTTAATTGGTATTTTTATGCATATTTAATAAGTGATTGATGTGAATTGTTTCAGGTTGTGGGGCTCGACTTTTTGTATCCAAGTGAAGGTATTCATAGAAGATGGGATGGTGGATATAGGATAACATCAGCTGCTGCAACGTGGCACCAAGCTGCTTTTGTTCTTAGTGTCCCAAGAAGAAAGCCTGCAGATGAGACACAGGAAACATTGCGCACTTCTGCGTTTCGTAGTACACATGTTAAGTCACCTTTCCTTTCCTTTCCTGTTTTATTTTTACAATAATAATAATAATATCATTTCTTATGCATGACATACATACATTTCATCAGTATTTTAGTTTCTAATCATTATTTGTTTCATTCCTACTACCTTTTTAAATGCATAATAATATTTTTTTTTTATAATTATTATTTATGAAGGGGAATAGCAAGGCACTGCAATTACCTGGGAGATCTGTTATTGGCACTATCCTTCAGCTTACCCTGTGGGATTAGGTAATTTTGCAACAATTTAAATTTATTTATTTATTATACCATTCTACTTAAATTTAAATTTATTTGTTTTGACTTGAAAAGTCAACTACTGTATATGATATTATAATATGAAGCATGTGATTACAGTTCTCCGGTTCCATATTTTTATCCAATTTATCTTCTGATTCTGCTGATCTGGCGAGAGAGAAGAGATGAATCCAGATGTGCACAGAAACACAAAGAGGTGTGGGAAGAATATCGCAAGGTTGTTCCATGGACAACTAGTGTTCTTTGTGGGTATGTGTTTGAACTTTGATGCAACAAAATTTGAGGTTTTATTTCCTGTTTGCAATTTGTATGTTTTGTTAATTTTAGTGGATAAAGACCTTGTAGTTTGTTTCGTGTATTTTGTGCATTAGGTAAAGTTGATGGAAGAAAGGAATATGAAGCCACTTGATTCAAATCTTGCAACATTATCAACAAGATGCAGCAAAGACTTGGAGTTGAATTTGTCTAAGTCAGTCTTGAGTGAGATGGGCCAATGCGTAACTGCTTATCCATATAGTCTTAAAGAATTATGAAAGGCAAGATGCAACTTTACTTAGTTGGAATTTGATGTATAGAGATTAGATGCAAATTTAGATATTGTAAGAAATATAATTGTATGACATTAAATTTTATGCAATGGATTGTATTTTTTGTATATGATATTTTATTTCTATTATGAGACATTAAATGCAAATTTAATTTAAAAATTAATAAATATATAAATATATTTTTTTAGAACATTTAAAATTATGATACGAAAAATGTGTGTCATCTTCATTTATGATATGGCCTTTCTTGACAGGGGCTTCCTTGCTACGCATTGCGTGTCATAAACACGCGCGTCGTAAGGTTACGACACGCAAATGCGTGTCGTCTTCCTTTATGACAGGGCCTTCCTTGAAACGCATTGCGTGTCGTAACTGCACGTCGTAAATGCGTGTCATAAATGCGTATCGTAAATGCGCGTCGTCTCTCGTTACGACATGCCCTTCCTTGACGCGCATTTGCGCGTCGTCTGAGCGTTTTACGACGCGCAATGAGCATCGTAAAAGGTTGTTTTTCTAGTAGTGCCACTACTAAGAAATAAAGAGTAAACTTCAATTTTGGTGATAGACGACATTTTCCTATTTCCCATAATTAAGTTTATCTTCCCGTGCTCCACATCCCTACTTTTTTAGTCCCTGCAAATCAAGATAAATGTGAAATCCACAACCTATATCAAGAACCCAAAAATTATCATGCGATGAGTTATTAGAAAGAATAGTAAAAATACATGTGTAGGTGGGCTTTATCTTCCCATCCTTAATGTCCTTAAAGTATTTGGGGTAGCTTCATTTCTGGTTCCCGTTTTCATGATAGCAAAAGCACTCTGCTTCCTTTGGATTGGTAGAGGGCTTAGCAGGACCACCTTTGGTTCCACTAGAAAAGGATCCATCATGTAACTTTCCCTTGTAGCTCTTGGAAGGAGCCTTCCTTTTCTTTCCCTTCCCATGTCCAATTGCCAGAATAGGGGCAGCAGTAGTAGTAGGAGTGGATACAACTAACTTGCATTTCACGTACCTTTCTGCAGTTCTTAGAAGGCCTTGAAGCTTGCTATGAGTGAACTCCTCCTTGTTCATATGATAGGTCATACGAAACTGATCATAACAACAAGGTAAAGATTATAGAATAATATCTATGGCTAACTCTTCATCAAAATTGACATTCAATTTCAGCAAGCAGTCCACATATATTTGCATCTTTTGCAAGTGGGCCGTGATGAACTCTCTATCCTTCATTTTGGTTGTGATCATGGAGGCAATGATCTCATACCTCTCATGACGATCACTTTCATGGTACATTTCCATCAAATCTTGGTGCATTTCGTAGGTCCAGAAGTCCTTATAGGACTTTTAAAGCTCAACAGTCATGGTAGCAATTAATATGAACAACTCCTTTTCACGTCCCTCTCATGAACCTTGGATTCCTTGATTTTCTCGGGAGTAGCAGTTTCATTAATCCCCTTTAGCTCTTTATCGAGAACATATTCTTTGTCCTCGTAGCGAAGGGCCATACAAATGTTTCGAATCCAATCGTGAAAGTTTGACCCATCGAAAATAGTTCTCCCAACCAAGTTCATGAGGGAGAATGAGCTAGAAGGGTTGGAGCCTGAAGCATTGTTTGGGATGGACATCTGAAAAGGAAGAAGAACAAAGTTTAGATTAGATGAGAATCCATAATATTACACCCAAATGAAATATTAAGGCTAGGACCCAACACAATATTCTACAATTTGGAAGAGGGATGCGTAATCCAATTGTAAAATATTTGAAGGTAGGTAAATGATAATTTACCAATTTCCACCATGAAAAACGAAATAGATTATTAAGCTTTAAATGAACTGAAATTCCTAGATTTTTTGGGATTCATTGAATTTTCAATGGCATGTTTAAATCTTGATTATGCCCTTCAAGTCTGTGACTGGGATACCTGGGATCACAAACAAGGTATGAATAACCATGTGAATTGCTTGGTACTGTTGATGTCACTTATCACCTAACCAATGTGCCGGTTAACTATACACGCTCCATTGATCTATGATAAACATCAAGCTACCCTTTGCCACCCTTGATAGTCCCAAATTAGTGTGTCGGTTAACCACACACGCACCTCTAACGACTTGGCTAGGTGCAAAAGTGCAATTCCATGGAATAGCACCATTTTCACATTTTTTTCCTAGAGTAACTAAGATTGGGAATTTACTAAAGTTTAGTTACTTTATAATTTCATTATAATTATTAATAATAATTGATGTCATATCCTACCCGTTCGGCTAACGACCCTCAACCAGTCAAGGAAACGGTGGGTGAGAGTGGACACCCATTAAACCACCATTTTACAGGCAGTAACATTATACCTCCCTTAGAGACCGGCTTTGTGAATGATGCCTACTAATGGTATGAATAACTTGTCTTTTATATATATATATATATATATATATATATATATATATATATATATATATATATATATATATAGGGTTAGGATTAAATGTGAATTGTATTTATAGTGTGAATGTATGACCAAATTGTATCCATCAGATTAAAAGAATGGAGGGTTAAGATCAACAATGGCATGACTGTAATTAAAAGGGAAAAAATTAATTATTTTATATATTGAAACCTTCAGAAGGGTAAACTGGACATTTTGGTGATAAACAAATTAGGAATGGAGGATTTTAAGGATATATGTTTGACTATTTTTTTCTTATCACGTTTCAATCTATTTCAGTTTCAATTATAATATGATTTTAATAAATTTCAATTGTATAAAGCATTTTTATTGAATGTACTATTTTTAAAAAATCTGAAACATTCAATTTTAATTTGAGTTTAATTGATTTCAATTGCACAGAAAATTTATCTGGCATATAAATCTAGAATATATAAACATATTATGACATATTTTTTAATGAATATACAAGAATTTTGTACACAGTACTCACAAAATTTATATCAATTACAAAAATTACATTCTTTGCAAATAGAACAAATAACTTTTGGAAGAAATTTCAAACGAAGACAATTTACAATTCTTGAAGAATTAAAGCATTCTTAAAGAATGCTTGAATAAAACTCTTGAAAAATTCAAGTACTACTAAGGAAGTGAAGAATAAAAAATGATTTCCAAGTTTCGTAACACCATAAGTTTTATATACAAACCTAATAATTCTTAAAGAATTCAAGAATATACAAAAAAAAAAAAAAAAAAAAAAAAAAAAAAAAAAAAAAAAAAAAACAAACAAACTTTTATATATACCACATTCTATATTCTTCATTTTTATCATCTCTGCACTATCTGCAACATTCTTGAACTATCGGTCCTCTTTTTATTTCCAGTCTTTCATTCTTAAAGAATACACTGGTTTTAGTATTCTATTCTTAAAGAATACCCTACATTACATCCATCATCTCTTTTTTCCCCTGCTTTTATCATATACTAAAGTGAAAAAAAACATCAAACTTTCGATATTTCAACTACGTCTGACATAGTTCATAGGCATCAGTATACAATTTAAATACACCATCTAATAATCATAAGTTTGTAATAATAAAATTGATACAACAACGAGATTAGAGTTAACAATTTAAAGGACACGATGGCGATAAAAAACAAGTATGAACCTGCAAATTCCAGTACTTAAACAACTTTTGACGATTAACAACAAAAATTAATCACTTGTTTACCTTTTAAGCCAACCTAAAGTTACATATACATAGATACATGCAACATTACGTGAAAATTAAGGTTAAAACAAAATTTAATCACCTGATTACCTTAAAATATTACCCAAAACAACATGGGGTCAATTACCTGTGAGTTGATAATATTAGAACAAACAGTCATTTTTATAACAACCCAAAACCATGAAGAAAAGAATAGTCTTGATTGGATAAGAAGAAAACAAATATATAACATTAAAGTCAAAAGCCACTGAATCCAATAATTCTTGTGATAGAAATCAATAATTAATTATTGAAGCATGTAAACTTAGGTTCATCAAGATAGAAATCACAAATTAAAAACCAAAAACTCCAATTCATCAATTTTTACTACTCATTAGCAAATCACCGGAATTGAATTCATAAGTGTGTGACATTGATAAGGATAGAAAACAACTCATCATAATCACGTTTCAATTTCATAGATGAACAACAAGTTGAAATGATTTGAAACGAACATAGATCCACATTCATATGAGTATAATGATACAAGACAGATCAAGTAGAAGAGAGATTATATGTAATTCATAGAAGAGTGAAATTCTCGTAGATATGTGATTGATTAATAACAATGTCAAAAGTTATAGATTAGAAGAAAGATACAAATCTATTTGATTCTAGATTTTTAAATTGTAGAAAGAGATCAATCAATTAGATAAGGATAGGTAGAAAATCAAGAACGAGATTAGGAATTTGCTTTGATAATGTGAATCATATATTTTGGTCCAGTCAACATTAAACGATTAAACTTTGGGATATATGAATTATAGGAAATTTAGTAAAAAGTTCAAAAAATACCTACCTTTTGATATTACACATGCGCAAAGCTTCAAAATATGAAGAACAATAGTGGAGGAAACTAGATTGTGGAGAATAATAGTGGTGGTGTGCCACCCTTGTATCATCGTTTGTTGGAGAATGATGTTGCGAGGTAGTATTGACAAAGCTGGTTGAGGGAATCTACTAAGGTAGTTCGTTGGCGAGGGAGCAACATTCGGACAAAGAAGGATAGGGGAGAATGATGAGATCAAAACCTGGAGTGCCTTGGTTCTGTCAGCAGCTTAGGGTTCTGCCAACATCGATGAACCTAGTTATAGGTTTGGTGATCGTTTAGTTGTTGTTATGTGGGATGAAAACGATGATGGATAAATAAGGTGTGAAACCGATATGCAATTTTAAAGGGTTATTAACTGATTTGATTTTTGACATAATTAATTATAGATAAAATTACTATTGTATCCTTATCAAATGATTGGTTAAGAATTAGCCATACATTAACACAATATTTATGGTTCATATATGAACCTAACTATATATATAAAAGTATTAACTTTTACTATTATAATAGTATAAGGGTTGAATTTGAACTTTTAAGTATTAATTGA